AGAATAAATGAATATAATTCCGGAAATCATGGATAACATGAATAATGATAACTTTAACAAATGGATCGATTAATTTGTTATCGTGTCATTTGATGATAATAATCTGTTAAATCAATGAATGAGTATACTATGTTACTTGAGAAGGTCCAATTCGACATCAAAAACCGGTGATAATGAGGCAGTTTGAATAAATTCTTCGGTTATGTAATTTATTGATAGGCAAAGAGCATTCTGAACGGTTATCGAATAAGAATTTTCCTTATCCGAAGTCAGCCCCAAGAACCACGTGAGCAATATATTTTGCGCGGTAGGATAGAAGAAGTCTGACCAATCCTGAATTTAAATAAAATTTAATTTTAGACAAGAATTTAGTTGAAAATTGGGTCCATTAAATTTAATGAAAATTTATTGGACTCAGGGCAGTTTGAATAAATTCTTCGGTTATGTATTCGGTTATGTAAAAAAAAAAAATTTAGTCTAGTGAAAGAACTAGTCAAAGAACTGGAAGGTAAACCTGTCTGAAAGGTGCTAGCTCGATATCGTCTTTAGTGCTATCAATCATATAAGCGCATTTATTGAATAATCTCACAGACATGCTGACGAACAACAAATACGATCGTGATTTACTCTGTTCACAAAATGTATTAGCACTCTAAAATCGAGAAAGATAAGGTATGGATATAGATGTAATTATAAAGAAAACCATAAATTTCATGAAATCAAAATCAAAAGTCTTAAATCGAAATTCTCTCAACATCTAATACGCAAACCACATTACCACTCCTTATTTTTTTATTTTACATTTTTGCAATGTCAGTCTGCTATAACGGAAGCAATAAATCTCTGGAGAAAATTACAGTGCCTTGATGAAAAAACCAACATCGCTACTCGCTAAATCAGCTTTCCGATATCAATGTTGCTAAACTTTGACTAAGGAATATTAGAATTTCTGATCAGCCTAGAACACGCTCTGTTAATAAATAAGAGCGCCATTTAAATCATAAAATACTTTATATTTTTTTGACAAATTTAAACCTTGTCTTAAAGGAATTATCAAACATACTTCAAGTGATGTAATTAGTGCACAGCATAAGAAATCCCGCATACTGTTATCCATTTGTCGTAGATATAAACAACAATTAGTTAGGAAACGAAGAAGGGCACAGTTAAATATATTCCGCTCTTCATCTTCCTCCATCTCGCAACTAAAACGAAAAAACAATATCAGACAGAAAAATTCTGTTACTGTTTAGGTATCTTTTTCATTAGAGTACAGGACTCTACGAAGAATGTAGTTCCAAGCTGGTTTCATTTAACCGCGCTACTCCAGGATGTTAAATCGTGAATTTTTCTGCATTATAAGCAATGCATAGCTGGTCAACAAAGCAAAAATAATAAAGCTGGGATGAGTAAGTAGTATTTTCAGATATTTACTCTTTTCCAAGAACAACAAAAAGTGTAATATTCACCTATAAGTGAATATATATTCCTCAAGCGTGGAGCGTCCCTCTACCATGAATTGAGTAAATAGTTGTAGTGGATTAACTAAATCTTTCAAAGATGATGTCATTTCAAAACGATCTGTCCAATATTTCATAGCAACAGGAGGATCATAATAATCGTCACACACTTCTTCTACATCTGAAAATAATATGTGTAAGCTAAGTCTGAAAAGCTCTTCCTCTTCCGAAATTTTGAGATGCAGATATCTTCTACATTTCTTTTGCATAGCCTTCCAAATCTTTTGATCTCGGTTTATTGCAAGCGCAAAAGCTAACTTTTGCAATAGTGTGCACCGATACCGTTGTGATAAAAAATAACCTTGCAAGTAAAGAGTTCTGAAACAAAATGCGATCCCAGAGGGATTCAACTTCTTTACAGAAGCTCTGAACAACGCCTCAACCTTTTCCGCGCATAAGTTATTTGCTATAAAACGCAATGTGAGGAACAAGCATAATGATTCATTCCCATTAGCAATCAGTGAGATACATTCAGAAAGAATGCCTTCCATAAGCTGTTCATTTGCCTGGAATAATATAAACAATTGGGATGAGAAGCTCTAAATTTATTTCCCGAAACATTCTTTTTTATAATGGTTCAACCGTTTTCGCGTAATGAAATAAGATGTTCCAGTAATATTTTTGACAGGTAAAACAAAAAACTATCGCAGAAATGAAGGAATGAACAAACCAAAATCAACTTGTTGATCAAATTATTTAAGCTTGTCCTTATATCAATGAGGCACTCGCTGCAAATTGTATTTATGGATGCTAATGATGATATAGCAACAGCATAAACGAAGCTTGCCATACAGTAGTCGACATGTTTCTCAAGTGCTATGTCGAGATAGCTTATTATAAATACAGCATAACTGAGATGAGGTAACAATGTGGAATTATTGTCCACATTTCCACTGAACAGTGATTTAACCATTGGCAAAGCAAGACACTCCTGCGCGTCCATTATTTCTAAGGCATACTGCAAGAAAAGTAACAGCTAGTTGTTGCTCGATTTCAATAAGTGTTACATGATTATTCTTATCAACCAATAAAAATAGTTAGTAAAAGGTAATTATGGTTAACAAATACTTATTGATAAAATAGAAAGATTTCAATCTCAGCAGCATACTAGTTAATTTCCCATGGATTTTGCTACAAGAACGTTAGTGCTACGCCCTAAACAAATGAAATACTTCGGTCCCCAATGGGAGAAAAAACTTGAGGGTTATAAAATCTAGTTCTTAGTACCCCAAAGTACTAAGAACTAGATTTTATTTTTTCAACATATTCAATGGTATTAATATTACAATTGAATATGCAGCGTTTAGGAGAAAATCGAAGAAATTTGAAAGGATTAACAGTATTTAAAATATTCAAGTGCTATTTTTAAAAACGCAATCTAAACACTTTTGTTTAGCTTTTCCGAACAGAACTATATATTACCATTTTAATAGCATTATTATTAATAGCAAATACCTTTCTATCAAGAACAGATAACTTATTAGCTAAGTCGGTAGAGTTAATTATAAAATAAGTGGCAGATGATGATGGCAATGAAGTAGCAATTGCCGTCGCAATTTCAATACCAGAGCAGCTGAAAAAATGATAATTCAAAAATACAAAGTCACCGAATGAAAATGACAGTTTCCGTATGTTGTTGCACTGAATATTTCCCACATTTAATAATACAAAAGAGCATATTGCAATTTGATAACAGCAGAAAGATTTTCAAATTCCAATTTCCGTTTCAGATTGTACGATTTTATCACAATTTAAATTAGAATGAAAAATATTTCCCATTTTTGCTTTTGCAGGAAAGAATATGTAATAAAATAAAAATCCCCGATAACCTCATTCAGAGTTATAAAACATACTCAAACTGAAGCAGACTGGTTGATTTTATTTTGTTAGTGATAGTTTGCGCTACTGATTTCATATCTACACTGGATGAAACCATCATTTTAACTGTTTCGTTTATAACCTCTGAAAGCATATTTAAGAAATGCACAAATTCCTCGTACTAAAATGTTTGCGATCACTATGAATTAACAGCTGAATAATTAGGTAATAGAATGAAAATGCTTTTAAAACATTGACAGAAAATTTTCTTATCTCACATTGCTTATGATGATTCAAACTTAGCGTAGTTTAAGTGAGGAAAATATGATAAGCTATAATCTATTACATTATGCTTAAATAATCAGATTGAATTATGACCTGAAGATGGTTCTTCGGTATCGAAAAATTGTCCAACAATAAGATCAACGAGTTTACTCCGCAAATGTTCAGAAATCTGTAAAATTTTCGATCAACAAAATAATTTTTTTTCACGAGCTTGAGGTTCACCGAAATCGGCAAATATATAATAATGATTAATCAGATTATTCCTCTTTTCTTATTAAGCTACCTCTATATTTGAAAGTAAAAAGACCTGAAGTGCAGCATAATGATTTTAAAGTCCATCAAATAAAAGGATATTAAGAAGAAATAATCTTAATACCTCTCGTCCTCGCTTATTTAACACTGCTGTAAGTAGCTGTTGGTCTATCTGGTAACGATTCTCTTCCAAAACCTCAACATCAACAAATATTAATTCACAAACTCATTTCATTTACATTTGCTAATGACAGGCTGTTATATTCAAATTTCGCAAGAACCAGCAAACTTTCATTTAATATGGACTTCTCCAACATTATTATATCTGCCTTCTTTATCATCTTTAGAAATCTACTCTCACCGGAAAAGCATTATTTTAGCAAAATTTGTTTTACTAGTCATGCAGAACCAAAAACTTCGTTGATATCGCAATGACTAAAACAAAAATTAGCATTTAGTTCATAAATGAATATACTTCATTTACGAACTAAATGCTAATTAATATCTTTTGAAGGATATTAAACAGACTACTGCAACATACTTACTTGCTGCAAAGCAGTTTCAAAATACGGAAATGAAGCAGCTATATCCATAAGAATGTCCCAACATTTTAAATCTGCTTGGTGGACACAAAACCGCATAGCTCTTATAAGCAAGAGATCATTATCGATAAAGTGTGCTGCGGAACACCTTTCCTTATCCAATAACGCAAAAGCAATCAAAAATCGCATGGATGTTAGTTCGTCATTAACCTAAAACGATCAGCAATCTTCAATAACCTCTTTAATTAATAGACAGTTTTCTCACAGTATGTCCAAATTTTTATTAACAACTTAGAAATTTTAACTTCATTATTTAATTTGGTCAGATCCATTGCTATGGTTTCTAATTCGCCTATCATTTTTTCAAATGAACATTCTCATATTATAGATGAATTGTTAATTTCGGATATTAAATACTGTAGAAAACTGAGAAGACAAAACTGCAAGAATGTTCGGTTAAAGTAATTCTTTTCGCATTAGCAACAGTTAGCATACGAAAAAAAAATTATTTTTCTGTCTGACCAATTCCTTAGAATCCAGAGGAAAGAACGTATGGACAACAAATAATTACGACGACAAAACCGTGATTGAACTCTGATACATTTTCAGTAGAACATTTTAAATACAATACCTTATAAAATTCGGTGATCTGCTTATCAAATTTTGCGGCGAATTTCATTAGTAACATTAACATGAGCAGTGCAGTATCTTCAACATCGTTCCAGTCAATTTTGTTCGAAATGGCTTGGCAGAGGTCAACTCGAGAACTGATATGTTTAAGTATGTCATCATTACATTTTTCCATTACATTATAAACCAATTTCTGGCTAGCATGCGTATGTTCAAGTAACTCCGCTATGAAATTTGACCAAACTGGCTCCACTTTGTCACAAAATATCTCTTCGATTATTGGTTCTGTAGATGGAAGCTGGAAATGATTCATTGCAGAAAACAGACTATTAATTATTGAGTAACCTCAGAATTTTCGAAAATTTTTCTTTTAAAAAATATTTGCGAAATACGTATGTATTTCAGTGAAGAACTGCAAGACAAAAAGTACCTCATCCAAAAGACGCTTCTGAATCTCGCAACGTAGTCGATATGCAGTTTGCGAATTTTGGAACCATTTACTGAAAATACGTTCTGGCAAATGAGCCATTTTCTTGACTAATGATTTGTCATTCCACTTCGGAGTGTATTTCGTCGCAATCCATATCTAAATTTTTACATTAATAGCAGTCCATTATAACAAAATGAAATAATCTGAAGTAATAGAAAAAAACCTTTTCAATAAATTCATCCATAACATCATCCAAATCATTCTCACACCGATTTATGACCCACCAAATGCCGAATTCCGTGAATTCTGCAAAAGTATTTACCCAAGCAACACTCGGAAACGAAAGATTCCAAGGCATCCTGAATTGCATAATTTAGGTTACCAGTTTGTTTCACAAAAACTCTACATAGAAAATTCTAACAAAATTGAGCACTAAATGAGTCCAATATACTTTCTTTCTCTAATGACCAAATGCAAAAAAACATGCACCTTGCGTTGGACTGATAGCAACCTAGGAAAACCAAATCATGAACAAGTGTTAAAAAAATCACCCGTCGAAAAAAGCATTCAGTATTCTCTCCAGCAGCTCTCGACCTTCCGCCACCGTCTTCTTCTCAAGCACGGCTTTTATTACAGGTACAAACATAGTTGAGATGTGGTTCCAGAAGCTTGAAAAATAAAATGGGGGCTACATTAATAAAAAATAAAGTGTCTAATCATCTAATTTTTCTTTTCTACTAAGTTTACCTATTTGCCTATTTATCCTTTCAGTGTTTTAGCATTCTGTTATTCGAAAAGAACATCAGCCATGTTTGTTTCTGAAGTTTTACAAAAAATGGATTATGAATATTTAGTTTTATAAATGACATTTCGCAACTTACGCACCATAAAAAAACAAAACAGATGACAGCATGATGCAGTTTCCTCTCAATGACATTATGGTAATCAACTGGTACTATCAATGTCGATCTCTCATAGCTTACAGATAATGCTAGATTTTATGATAAATCGAGAGCTTACTTTTTCTTCCGGCTTATCAGTGATAAGACACGACGCACCACTACGTTGTCAATATCAAATACACGAAAGAGCAAGTTAGCTTTGGTCATTTCAATAATAAGAACAGCAGATGCGCGACCAACACTCCTATCAGTATTGTCCAGATGGCTTAATGCCGCATTCGGTATTGCACTTCTTAATATTGCCTCCCATCCATTAGGCAGTGTTCTTACGCGATTTGCTAAGATCATTGTGGCACTAACAACCTGCAGTATTCATTACTGTGCACAATAACATTAAGCTCGAAGATGGACAAACAAGGATACTCTCAAGAAATTATCTATAATTCACATCTAATTCTTACCCATCTTTCTTAAAGAAGTTTTCGACAATGATGATCAGAAAATGGATAAAAATAGGTCCCAAATTAAGAGGAAGTTATAGCAAATTACGAATAAATGCTCAACTGAACGCAAAGTAATTTCAATAAAATTAAGTAGGTAGTAAAATGACATAAAAATAAACAAAAAAACCCCAAATTGTTTTCAGTATGAAGATACCTGAGCAGACGATGATACTAGTCGTTTGTGTGCTGGACTACTGAGAAATTCAAATATTCGATTACGCTGTTCCTCGCTAAGAGTCTGCGCACAAACCCAATGAAGGTACTGCAAGCTTTGTGAAGCAAGCCTCACGAAGCGCTCTTCTTCAATCTCTTCTCCTTCAAATCTGCAATAAGCTTTGAAATCGAGTTACAATAAAGTAAAAAAATTTTGGGATGATTTTCAAAGCACATTTTTCGTCGAGAAACAAAAAACATCAAAACAATTTAGTTTCTTGTTTAGACTAATCTTAATTAAAAATAATATCCGAAATAGAATAAGAAATCAATGTTATAACAAATGGTACCTAATCAATAGCGGATGTTTGCCACTAATAAATTTAAGGGCTATTCCACACACTTGTTCCTTGAACATTTCTATGATAATATCATATTTGCCATTCGGGAAACAATCAACTAGCATGTTTTTTGATTCGTTGATCACTTGCGAATAACTATCGTGCATCATTAATATCACATAAGGTAAAACCTGCAAATTTGTATTTCTCTTTTGATAAGATAATTGTTCCATAAAAGAGCTTGAAATATCAAATTCAATCAATTTGAACATGCATTAGTAATAACGGCTACTATTTGATGAAGAGTGATTGAGAGAAAATTATGACCTTGTGCAAGTTGCTTCTTTTTTATTCAAACTCAGAACAATTTAAAAACAAAACGACTGAGTTCTGAAAATTCTGGGTTTGTGAAATGAATTATGAAAATTTTTCTGCAGTGAATGTTACCTAATTTATATATTTCCATGGATTTAATGTACTAGATCACCCGATATTTGGAATATCACATTATTTTCAAGTATTAATGAAAAACAACATTCCTACGAAAACTTCTAACCTTTTTTAGATATTGTTCACAGTTTTTTCGTAGCTTTTTGATATACTGTCCTAAGACATGAACCACATTAGATCTTACTGTTGCCGTCGTATCAAGAGCTAGCCTGGGAAATAAGGTAACAAAATGTTTAAAACTTTTTCGGATATCGTCGAATGTCACTTCATCAATCAATCGTCTCAATTCTTTCAATCCCTAAAAAACATTACGTGGCGGTAGAATAATGAAAAATATTGGGTAATTAATTGAATAACAGCTGTGAGGAAAAGTAATTGACATCCTTATAACTTCTCAAATGAATCTAACAATGATAAGGATGGCATAATTACATGACCGCTAATTTGCAGTTGCTACTTACATTAATATATAAAAAATCACATTAAATTTAGATTAGACAATGATTGTTACTAAGATGATCAGACTCTCGATATGTCGAAAAATTATACAACCAAAAATTTAGAATATAAATACAAAATGATATGTACCTTTTCACGAGTCTGTGAATCTCTTTTTGTAGTTTTTCTTAAAGCGATTTGGATTTCAGCATCAAAGAGGTCTTCATCTGCGTCGCGATTTTCCAGTGAAGTTGATGTAAACGGTTCACAGTCACCAAATGTTACAATTTGTAGCGTATGTCCGGAACTTGTCAGTAACTCTGCAGCATGAGCACTGCTTGCTGCCTGCAAAATTCACAGATTTCCAATTATGTTAATATTCGGTTAAGTGAATTAATGTTGTACTGTATGCCCGAAATTGGCCATATCATTCTCCTTTTCGTATTCCGATCTTTAATCGTGGATTGCCGTGACTTGAAAAGTGACTCACCTGAGCATTTCCTTTTCGACGTTGATGTTTACTCATTATCCTGAAATAGAAATAATTTACAGAAATGTGAACTAAATACAATATAGTCATAATACTATAAAATATACTACCGTAATGAATTAAACGTAACTCTATGACCTGAAAATACTGAATCTTTCTGCACTATATATTTCATCATCCATTCGCGTCGCTCTATGTATTATTTTTCCTAACCACAAAGAAAAATAAATATGTGATGACAGGTAATAAATATCCTGTGGTTAAGTATGCAAGATACTATTCCGTGTGCTACGTATAGCTCAATTTCTTGTTACTTCAGATGTCTAATTTACCATACTCCACCATAATAGGGCTACGTGAGAAACGCGAACCGGTGTACTGTCATTCCTTTTCTCCAACTCACAACAAAAGTACAACGTGTTGAAAAGTGTACACTTGCTAATGACATCATTGCTTCCTACTGTCTCATTTGCAACTCACGTGTCTCGTAACCATTCCTACTTCTGCAATCTCTAAAACGTGCTACTACGTATTTCCCCGGCTATTCTCATTCCTGACGCCGTATTTTTCACGCTTTCGCTAGAAAAAAGTGCATTGCATGTCTCGTAGTATGCAACTACCATGAAAGCAGTCAGTCCGAGACGATTTGATTTATCATCGCTATTTTTTAGTGATGTGTGTGCCTACGTGATGCTTATCATTGTGACTTTATAATATAATATATAAATGGAAGCAAGCTTTGAATTGAACTAGCGTAAATTTTCAGAGAGTGTGTATGTTTATCTTTATTCTATCTGTAGAACTGTTTGAATACTCAGGTACGAAGAAAATTGAGTTCTTGTGAGTTAATCAAATTAGATCGCTGAGGATATTGAGGATGATGTATTTATTTTCAGATATATTTAATTTGCTTATTACTGCAAATTAAATAAGAAAGTTTGTTTTTAAATAAGAAGAGTAAGAAGGTTTCAGAAGTGATGTCTTATTACTGGATCAACGATGGCAGTCAACAGAACAACTGGTACAGTAGTGAAGCAAATGCCGGTTGGGGACAGCATAATAATAGCCAACAACAATCATATATCCCACAAGGTTAAAATTTATGTTGTTTATAAATAAATTGCAATTCAGAAACCAACAAAATGGAGAGATCATTAACTGGAGAGAAAGAAGGAAAATATAACTGTATCCGCCAACGCTTTATTTCAACAATGATTTCGTGACTGAAGCGGCAACTTTAAAAACACAATGTTCTCGCAAAGCAGTGAAAGTAGTGAGAGTATGAGTTACGTACTCCATATATCATAACCACTTTTAAAAAGAGGAAAATGACAAAAGTTGCGAGAAAATTAGGACTAAAATTGAAGACAGTATAGATGGCTTGATGAACATAGCTTTTTAACCCTTTACCTTTCTGCATTATCACCTTTCTGTATTATTCTACAGTAATATGATATGAGCGAAAGTGTTGAGATTGCATGAAGTAGGAGTTGACGTATCAAATAGCCTTGCTGTCGCGAAAGTATGGACAAGAATCTAGGATGGAAAAATACTAAACATTTTTTTGCTTTATTGTTCAATTATTGATATATATATCTGATAAATAGGTAGTAGAATTTGCATCGTTAGGTCTATTCGAAAAAAATGCATCTTTTATTCCATTTAGATCGATTCTAGAATTTCCAACAAATTATTAGTTATGCTTTTGCATAATATATCTTGTAAGAAATTTACTAAAATATTCTTATATTGGTTCAGCTTATTATGACAACTATCGACCGCAACAGCCACAGAATACATATAGTGGTCAGTACTTCATGCCATCCCAGTTACAAGGTATTACCTTCTCCATTATTCTAGTTTGTAGTATGCTGAAGAAAATTACTAGGAGATCATAGGGCAGATTTAAAATCTGTCACTTTATCAGTCACTTTTTTATTTCAGTGAGTATAATTTCCTCTTTTGCTGCTCTGTTTCAGCTTTGCCTACTGATGATTTCGAAAACGAGCCGCCATTGTTGGAAGAGCTTGGCATCAATTTTAGCCATATCAAACAGAAAACATTAGCCGTGTTGAATCCCGTTGGCTCTGTGCCACCGCATGTAAGCTCCGCTCTTTCAAATTAACTATTAGCAATCTCAGACAGTATATTCTAGATATTTCTCATAATGTTTTCTGTTTGCATGATTTTAGGGAACGTATATATTGAAACAATGTGGTAGGCTTTGCTGAATATACGGTGTTAGATTTGTAGGTTTGCTAATTGCAGACCATTTCATCTACATCTTCAAGGTTGTACGCTATATTTTTCAGGTGATTGCTGATCAAGACTTAGCCGGTCCGCTTGTATTTTGTCTTTTATTTGGTGTTGCTTTGTTGCTTCACGGAAAGGTGTGGTTTTTAGTCTCAAGAAAATATGTTTTGTATGGAAAATTTGTATGGGATTGCTTGGGTTTTCATGCTTGTGATTTAAATTTAGTAGGTTAAATTGTTTCGTGAAACGTATTTTTACATTTCGTCAGGGTGACCACTACTTTTGTAGATGAAAAATAAACCAGCTTGAGGATTTATTTTATATCCAACTGTACATTTGTTACATATTTCCCAAAGTACCCTTAATTTTTGTTATTCGTAATTATGGACCGATTACATGGAAGAGTCATCATTGAAAAGAATACAACTCTTATAGGTCAGTAGAAGCAAAGATTTGAATACTTTAATGTATTACTTGACTTAATAATTTCAGATTCATTTTGGATATATTTATGGAATCGGTGCTCTGGGTTGTGTTGGAATATATGCATTGCTAAATTTGATGGCTGCTGACAATTCGATCTCGTTCACCTGTACTGCTAGCGTCCTTGGATACTGTTTACTACCGATGGCTATTTTAAGTATGATAGCTGCAATCTTCTCTTTTCAGGTATAACTTAATTTCGATATCATATAAGTGCAACTTCAAAAAAATGAGTAAGAGATTGTCAAATTTTCATAATGCATTTCATCTCATTTACAATCCAGTAAAAGCTTAATGGAATAAATCGTAGCATGAATTGTCTCTGAGATAGTTTTTATATCATTTCTTATTTTGTAGGATGTGTTAGGCTACTTGATAGCAAGTGCAGCTGTAATATGGTGCAGTGTTGCCTCATCCAAACTGTTTGTTACGACATTATCTTTGGATGAACAGCGATTGCTCATCGCATATCCGTGTGCCTTGCTATATTGTGTTTTTGCTCTTCTTGCCATCTTTTAGAGCATATTATTGCTTTAGATTTCCTATGAAATACTGTTTGATATTTGGAAATGTTCTGTATCTCTGATTTCATATCGCAGAAATGTTATTCTCGTTATGTTGTATCATGGAATGTTTTGGTTAGTTACAGCATTATTGTCGGAAGACATGAAGTAGATGACTGCATTTTACGATAAGTTTTAGCATATTATTTGAACTCTACTTTTTGTACTGTTTTATTTTCTCTTCCAAAAAATAAAAAAGTGTGAGCAACAAGGAAACGGTGTCTTTCATTTACATATGCATGTATTATTTTCACTTTGTTCGATCACTAGACTGTCCGCTGCCATGTAGCGACAGTCTGTCATTTTATGTAATTATTAAAGAGTGAACTTTTACCGGTTATTTTATATCTAATTTATCTTATTGGTGGCAACAATTGTACTGCATAAATTATATTATAAATTAATAAAAATTATTTATTTTTGTGTCTTGATATTTAAAAATGTTGTGCTGTATTCAGCTATATTTGAAGAGTCAAAATACACTTTTTTCCTTTTTCTCTGTTCTGAATACGTGGAATACTCACGAGAAGTATAACTTGTTGAAACGTTGATTTACCGTCTGTTAATAAGAAACAATTTGTGGTTGAGGGTCAGGCGTCCGTGGCGATTTCTTAATAGATTCATTCCTCCTAGGTAGAGTTTGCGATCACTTAATAGATTTCTCCAAAGTTCAGTTTACGAGGTGTGCTAGGAGAGTGTGGTCAAAATATATCATCATGAATTTTATTAAGTAAAGAGTTTGGATTGATTATTAAGTTTAAAAGTCATCTAGAATATCATTTTCAGTCTTGCATGAGTCGCCTATGTCCATAAGTTTGAAAATCGAAGAAGTGTAACTTGTCGAAACGTTGATTTACTGTCTGTTAATAAGAAACCGTGATAAACTAGATATTCTGAGATTTCATCATTGTTTTTCTGCTTTTGCAGATTTATCGAGCGACTTTAAGAAGTGTGTAGAGGAAATAAAAATTGATGTTCGTTGGAAGTGAATTTAATGATGCAATTGCAAGTATCAGCGAGAGTGACGCATGGATTGTGCATCCCATACCTGGTTATGTTGTCAAATTCAAGGAAGTATGTTTTATTTTATTGTATATTCATTAGTTAACCGAATAAGAACGAAGCGTAGATTGTATTAAATTATTGGTATTTACAGAATTTTGTATAATGTTTGAAATTTAGTTCCAGGTTGAATCGATATGCACAATTTGTGATTACACTATAACTCATTTACTGCCACTTTTAGTTTTGATTAAAGCTAATTATAATGAATCGTTAAAACAACTTCAGAAAGCACTAACCATTTTCTTTTGAAGGTAGAATCCAATTGTCGCACGCTGTTAATGAAAGAGAAATGTAAACTTTTTTTAAATATTTGTCATTGCGCACAATTACCCCCTCCGGAGAATCTCAGTGAGGTATGTTTTGCTATTTTCTCATGAATTATTAATCCATGACACGTGATACAAATGACATATTGTAATTGGTCATTCTGCTACAAGAAAAAACTTTAAGGCCTGTAAGCGCGGTTGATTATTTCCAGCTGTTGATATTTCTTGGATGAGTAATTCCAAGACGTAGGGAAATAAAATTTTCTGAATCAACTGTCGACAAAGGTAGCTTTGGTTTCGATTTTTAAAAAATTGACAGATAATTCTATATATTGTTGAGGTCAATTTCTTTTGGTTCGCTTCTTTTTAAAAAATACTTGCAGGACGAAGTTGCAAAATTGTTGGATTCAAGTGATTCCTCAAGGTATCGTATACCGTTATGTGTTGGTGATATTGAAGTGGTCTCAGACAGAAGAGGAGAAGATTCTGTAAAGGTGATGTTCATTTCAAACTTGGAAGCTGGAACATATGCATATCTTAAGTCCGTACTTTTTTCAGTTACTTGCACTTGATCTCTTTCATACTTATTCCCGCGTATGATTAAGGATATTAATGATATTAATATTAATGATATAAATGATATTAATGATATTAATGATATATTAATGAGCCAAGATTTATAATGTCATTTCAATGTTGTCTTTTTTAGATAGATGTAATTATCAATTCTACGTTTTATTTAACGCAGCTCGAAAAGAGTGAATTCTTCCGACAGTTATTGCTACTAGTTGTTTCAGAAGCGGTTGAAAAGAAACATGGTATTAATATTGATGTAAAGGTGTGTTTTTCAAAAAATATAAAATAATAGTTTTGGATTTCATTTGTATTGTCGTAATATTCTCCTTACTAAACATTGATATCTTTTTAGCGTCCAGAATTTGCATCTTAATAATTCGACTGTCCTTTGAAAAATTCTGTTTTTCATTTTTATTGTTTGTACCCATGAAACAGTGTCTTGCTTATTTCATTAAACTTTATATGTTTAGGGAGCAATAAGATTAAAAAATCGAAAGTGTGTGGGCGATTTGAGCGCTCAGAGAATACGAAAAAAGCCGCAAGAGGCATTTATAAGGGAATTAGAGTCAGTAAAACAATCGGATGAATCGATCTATGAGGTATCAGAATTTTCTATTGCTAATTCTAAACTCAGTGTTTGTGGATGAAATTTAAATTATGGATAATTGCAGCAACATTGTCTTCCAAAGAATTGCTTACTTCTTCTTCGAAATGGCAAAGAGCTAGAAGTAAACTTGAAGTTTGCTAATGTGGAACCACCGATAGAAAATAGTGACAGGTTATTGCGAATTTTTCAAGCTATTTCGTCTCTAGTTATGAATTTTATCGCAGTAATAAAAAACCGAAGCAATAGTGATTTGAACCTATGATTTAAACAACCAATTTCGTTCTTCATGTATAACAGGCTTTGTAGGTTGAATATTCGGATGAATGATGACCACTTGTTAATTATTCTTGATCGGAAACAAACAATCTTGGATATTTATTTTCCAATAAAGGTAGATTATAAACGAGTTAAAGTGAAACTATTATCAAGTGAAGGTATACTACGGATATTGGTTCCTGTTGTTTGGTGATCCTTGCCTGTTATAATCGTGTATTTGGAATTGATCATTCATGTTTTGTTTTGGATTTTTAAACACTTTTCACTATTTCACCTGCATATCTCTGAATACTAGAAACCAGGAAACTAACTTATTATAAAATTGTGGGTTTAAACACTCGAATTCAATTTAGCATCTGTGTTTTATTCCTAATCATTTATCAAAATTCTCAACACTTGGTTCCTTTTCATGGACCATGACTGTTTCTATCGATCTAGGGCTAAGTTTTTAGGCGTCACTTTTGACCGAAATTGAATCTAAATCGTTAGTTGACGAATAATATATTATAAATGGTTTTCAATTGTCGTAGCAATGACATAACGATATCTTCATAAATACTTGCCACACTTTCTACTTAATGATGTTATTGCTAATTAATAAAGTAAAAGTTAACTATAAAATAAATCATGTGGCCTTCATTACGTTCTCATCTAGTTTCTCCTATGCTTAGGTATTTTTCTATGTTCAATTTCGTGTTGTGTGATAAATGCTTACACAAAGTTACGTGTCAGATCAGATGATATTTTACTGAACGAAAAGAAATTTTTGAGTCTTTTTAAAGAGAAATATTCTTAGTTGTTGACCACTTAAGATATTTGAATCATTTTAAGGGTAAATGTTCTTAGTTGTTGATGGTCGAAATGTTGCCCAGTAGTATTACATTTTTTTTAATATATTTACCGTTTGCACCATAGAGTTGTGGGAACTTTCTGTGTTATTTTTTTTTCGATTACCAATTTCCTTAGAGCGATTTGAATTACCTAATCTTCAAGCTTTATAGATAAGTGATTGATTGTTAATTTGTGTTTAGTTACAATAGTTCTATAGATAGGCAAGTACACTTCTGGGACTTTTTGTTTTGTTACATCTGTAGTTGTCGTACTAAGTCTGATACAGGTACTGATGCCGATTGCATTGTTTATACATGATTCTGGAAATATACCAGAAGTGGTGGTTTTTTGAGTTGCGCTGACAAAGATATTCTCAATTTATAATATAGGAAATATGCTGCTAAGCCGTCACCTATTTAGCAAGGTAATTTTTCATTTTGAATTAATATTTCATCAGAAAAATAAACTTCGTTCTGTTTTCTGTGCTCTTTTTCCTCTGGTAAGTTTGAGGACAGTGCTATTGTGTGTTCCTGATCAAGAAGCAAAGTTATGGTTATTGTATAATTTGCTACAACCGAAATTTAGCTATAGAGATTCAAAAATACTTGAAATATTAATGGCTTGGAATAGTAAGTCATAATTATTGAAAAGCTTGAAAGGCTTGAAATAGTAAGTCATAATTTAGAAATAATTCATTTTGAATGCCTATAGTTAAGATGTATTTACATTGCTTTTTCCAGGTAAATCAACACTTCATTTCGCAATTGGAGCGTGTTTTGGGTAAAGAAGCTGTTAAAATAACTACTGGGGAAGCGGGTGAGAATTTGCATGATTGGAGGCGTCATGTGTATGTTTTGAACATTTTTTAATTTATTGTTTTTTTGTAAACATCATTTAGGTTGTTAATCTTTCTCTTTCTTTTCTTTTCCATAATTTCAAGGCATATTTATTTGAGGTTTGAATTAAGTTTTCGTTCAGATGTTTCATACATTTTATTGTTATTTATAGCAAACTACAGCTTATTGTAGGTAGGACTTTTCGATACCGAAGGCTATCACTTTGACCTTTAACGATGATTTATAATATTACAGAACCCATTTTTATTTGCAGAAAATTTTAATTTTTTTTTCATGTAAGTTTGTGTTTATCAGTATACTTAATTTATGTAATATATTACGGATTTCAGAGGTAGGATTCCGGATGTGATTGTGGTGCCTAAAGATGTTGGACAAGTTAGTGCTGTGTTGAAGACGTGTAATGAGAGCAGTATTCCAGTGGTACCGTTTAGTACAACCACTGGTTTAGATGGTTTTGCCAATACGCCCGAGGTTTATTATTTCACGAGTATTTTCTTGCAATATTTACCTCTGTTTATTTTATTGAAACTAATTTCATTGAACTAGTTAAAAACCCGTTTATTTTATTGATACTAGTTAAAGACCATCATTTTAGACAAATCACAAATCGTAAGAGTTTTCCTAATATTTCGTCTTTAAAGTTCGTGAATTATTGAATAGTTTTTCAGAAAGGTGTATTTATCGATTTGATGTCAATGGATAAGATCGTGGAAGTAAACACGAGTGATTTCAATTGTTTTGTTGAACCAGGCGTAACCCATGAAACATTGAACCAACATCTACACAAAACAGGCCTTTGGTTTCCTGGAGGTACGAAACTATCGAGCTATTGGATTTAGAGGAAGTCAGAGATAACTTTAAGGATACACTTTAAATTGAGCACTAGAATTGCAGATCCGGGTGCCGATGCATCCATATGTGGTATGGCTGCCATGGGCGCAAGTGGTACAAAAGCAGCGCGGTATGGTACTATGGTGCAGAATGTTTTGAATTTGGAGGTACTTTTCCGTTTTTCGATTCGATTTCTACAATTTGATAACTAAAGGGATTTTTTGTTTCAGTAATAGTATCAAATTGGATTATTACAGATTGTTCTGCCCAATGGCGACGTGCTGTACACAGCTGGAAAAGATAGACGTCCAAGGTGAGCTTTGAAAGAAAAATTTTTTGGTTTGACTACCATTTTACTGCTATGGCCCACAGATTAGCATCTTTATAACATAAAAATATTAATCGCTGAGTTTTATAGAAAACAAAATAAGCGACAAATTTTCAGGCTTTCATTTCAAGCGGTTGTTGCCGCTTGGGATACATGCGTTTCACTACCGTTGGCCTTCATTAGTTGTTGGTATTAATGACAGATTTAACAAAGGTTGCTTTATATAACTAACAAGAAATAATTATCAGGAAATCAGCAGCAGGTTATAACTTGACGAAACTCTTTGTGGGCTCTAAAGGTACATTAGGAGTGATAACGCAGGCAGCGGTACGATTGTATGCAAGGCCAGCAATATGTAGTGTTGGAATTTGCCCATTTCAAACAGTAAACAAAGCTATTGAAGCGGTCGTTGCTACGTTGCAATGTTCTGTACCAATTGCAAAAATAGGTATCTTAAAAACTCGCCACATTGCATCATATTCAACTCTTTTAACGCTACTTTTTTATGCTAGTTTGATTGTTCTAAATTTTTCATCCTCGCAGAAAGGTAATATTACGGAGTTGCTTTGGATCCTGGTAAGAATTCGTTTTCATTTATGTGACCAGAATAATATTGTCGCTAACATTAGCTTTCTAACATTAGCTTTTTTCTCGTCTTCCGAAAACTTCCCGCTTTCTCCATCTTTTCGATTTCATTTATCGTAGCAGTTCCTAATGGTATTGAGCTTTTAGTATGATCTTATATAAATTTACAGAGTTTCTGGATGCTGCTACAGTGGCAGCCTGCAATCACTATAGCAAATTAACGCTTGTGGAATCACCCACTCTTTTCTTGGAATTCCACGGCAACTCCGAAGCAGAAGTAGCTGAGCAGGCTAGCCTCGTTGGTAATTTTTTGAGCCAGTATTTCATTTTAACTTCTCTCAGTCAGCCGTTTGTCATTCCATTCGTGAGAATAATTGTAACTGTCTCACAGCTTACTGCTGACGTCTATTTATACTTTATTACTGAGATAAATTATGTAGTAATGATGTACAAATTATCAAATCGAAAAATTATATCTATTAAAAGGAATCAGAAAAGACCACTCACCAGATGTTTAACACTCATGTAAGTAGACTTTGTTGGTTGACTTTTGAGGATTGCAAAGTACGTAAAAGAGTGGTATTGTTTATTTGATAGGAGAAATATTCGCCAGTAATGATGGAAGGGAGTTCACGTGGTATCATGCGCCTGAAGAGCAGAAGAAAATTTGGGCTTCTCTTCATTCTGCTTATTATGCTATTTTATCACAGAAAAATAATGTTAAGGTCTGTTTCATTTTCAAATTTGAACCATCAAGCTTGAAAATTTATTTTATAAAATTTGTCATTTATCATATTCAGAGTGTGTACTTTTCATTGTCTACATTAATTTGGATCTTTGAAAAATTTATCTGAACGAAGAACTCTTAAGTGAAACGGGAATAACTGCTTCTTATGCATAAAAGTTCATATTAATATTGTACAGTTTACAGAGCGCAAGCATGCACAACATGCACTAAGTAGTGAAACTATTTTTTTTCTTTTTTGTAAAAGAAGAATATAACAAAATTTGTTTAGGTCAGATTAGTGTTGATGATCACTGTCATTTCCACTTTATCCTTCATCGAATTAGATTTTTTAATTCTATTAAACTTTCAATCATTTAAATTTGAATAGTTTTGTTTCAGGGTCTCAGAATTCATTTCTCTTTACCAACGTCTGCATTGGCTAAAGAAGTTGCGGAGACCAGGAAGGACATTGACGAATCTAACATTTTTGGTTCAGTTTTTTTCTATTGATCCTACATCGCCCTTTGTGATGAAGTTTAATAACGGACTTTCCATGTTATTGTATTTCAACGTGTGCTATATTCCCGCAAGAAAAATAATAGAGGGAATTTAGCATTGTTGAAAAAGCTCTGCTACTATGCGGAGCATAAAGAGACATTAAGAATTTTTGGTGTTTGGACGATTTGGGCTATGACTCCTTCCATTGCTATATTGTTAAAGTTCCACTCGAATAAATTCAATTTTCAATTTTTTTCTTTTCTTTAGAAACTGATTTTGTGCTATTTTAGCATTTGCCTAATCTCATTTCCTAGTTTATTTCTGGTTCTGTGTTTTAGGAGCAGTAATGGGTCATGTTGGTGATGGCAGATTTCATTGCATTTTCTTAGTCGATGAATCAAATCAGGATGAGATGAAAGTTGTACAGGAATTATCAGATCGCATTGTCAAGTACTCTTTTAAAGAATTTATTATGTCTTGTATATTTTACAGCTTATTAAACAGCCATGGAGATATTAGTGCCAGCAAATAATTAATTTTTCATGATATTTGTGTGGAAATAATGTATTCCGCATGTTTGAGGAATGCAGTTTTGTTCTATTTTAGAAGCAAAAATAAGTTGGATGAATAAGCGTTATAATGGTATTAAATTATTTTAATTGTTATTATTATAAAATAACAAGTTTGTAGTTTAAAAAAAAAAAAGTTGATTTTAGGCGTGTATTAGCATCAGGTGGTTCATGTATGGGTGAACGGGGAATTGGAATTAGTAAAAGAAAATATTTGGAGAATGAATGTGGTGAGGTGGCGGTGAACACGATGATTGCAATTAAGAAAGCTTTGGATCCAAAGGGGATCATGAACCCGAATGAATTATTCCCGAAAAATTAGTTTTTGTTTTATTCTTTTAAATTGTTTGAGAAATATATTTCTAATTGGTGCAGCTTTCCCTCCCATGGCTTTACATTCAATGGACTAGACATATGTTAAAATGATGTGGACAGTAAATATCAAGAAGTGATGAGAATTTTAGAAAACTTAATTACTGCGCCAACAATGTATGATGCATGATTTATTTTGCTAATCACTATATCAATCTGTCAGATCATGACTCCTAAAAATTTTCTTCCTAAATGCTGCTTCCAATAGAGTTTGTAAATTATTACAATTCTTTATCAATAAACTGTTACGATTGCTATTGTTATTATTGCTGTTTACTACTTAGCGAATTTTACATTTTCTTAATTATGTTACTTTCTTGAAATCAATCAGAATGCATTTTAAAAAATAGAGCAATAAGAATAGTCTATTTAGATTTTTAAAATAATCTGTCCTCTTGCATTTAAATGATAGCCTATGCAAATTAGAATGGTTTTTGTATTTGACGGCATCGTAGCACGGCCGTGACTTATCAAATTCCTTTTGCAAGGGCATTCCCATTACCAATGGAATTGAAATTCTGGAATTTCTTCAAGATTAAAAGTTCGAACGCCTCAGAATGGCACATTCGCATCATGTTACGTCAGCTATATGCTTGTCTTTCATGATTTCAGTTCACGGGCGCATCATCGAACTTCCTGACGAATTATATCATATTGAACGAAGTACCACTGCTCCATGCACGTAGCTTCAGGATATCCCATCAAAAAATATTGATATGAGAATGAAACATATTGATGAATTAAAATTGATGAAGCCCAAAATAATTTAGGATCTTAGAAGTTGAGTTCTGATAAAAATAATATATTCTAAAATTTCTCGAGACTTGGAAGATCACTTTCATTACATAGACTTGCTAGTGATAGAAAATGGTATATTAGTCTAAAATATTGGCTTAGCTTTTTCATTTTTCCAATCATTAATTATGTAGTTCTTGGGGAATTTGTCGTAGGATTGAAAAACGAAGCAGAAAAAATGAAAAAATGGATGACAAAAAAGAAATATTGAAATTGGACCTTCTTTTTGAAATTATAGTTTAGAGTTTTCTGATGGATACATACATATAAATCATTTGGACGGTTTTTTTCCCCCACATTTTTTGTTAAAATAATTTCAGTTATCTTATTTCTTAGCCTAAAAGAAGACAAAACGTCATTTCATCAAACATTCATATCATTTCCATTTGTTATTTTTGATCTTTCTAATCTCGAGAATGCAAAATGGAATTTTGCAAGTAATTTCTAGGAAAAGTAAGTCATTGGAGGGTATCATTATTTTGAAAGAATAATGAGATTGTATTTCGCTGTTGCATATCCAAGAAATTATATAATTATGTTGAAGTAACGAATTAACTATCATATCATTCCCACAATTTTATATATAAAGAAAAGTATTTATCTTTGATCATTAATTATCTCATTGAAGTATTATTTCTCACTGATTTTAATTTCTGGGATATTTTTTTCAGAATTTTTCAAGGATATAATATAATATTCAAAAATTATCTGCCATCTTCTCCAATAATTTTAGTATAAACTCACTTAAAGTTGACTTAAAAAGCTGGAATCGAATAATAGGTCGTATTAATAAAGATATGGAATAAATTATTATTGCAAACTTTGTATCATAAAACACGAAGATCTTGGAAATTAATTTCATTCATGTGTGAAATCGTTGAGGTATACATAATATATCATATTATCATTGATAAGTGGCGTAGATAAGATGATAAAGTTCGTCGATCTCTTCCTTTTTCCTTCAGATCAAGACGATGATGCATACTTTTGCATCAGTAATCAGTTTTTATTTTTTACTTTCCTCCTGCAATAAATGGAATTAAAATAAAACATCATCTCTGTTGTTAAAATTAAATGTGTCAGAAGAGAACTGAAATTATAAAAAGCAGAATGGGAGCAAAGATTATGATGAAAAATGTTGAAAATATAATGAATAAGTAAATAAATAAATATGTAATGAATGGAATATGAATATATAATTTTAAATTGAGGAATATAAGTATAATTAATGATACTTACAGTAGTCATCCTTCGACAGTGAATATTTTCAACAGTTAATAAATTGCCTGTTAATTTCCTATGATTTTTTAAAGGATCTTCTCTTGTCGTTAATAAGTTGCTAAAAACTGATGCAGCACTTGGTCGATGTTGTGATGATGTTAGCATAAGCTAAAAAAGCCTTTTAATTTATTGATTAATTTATTCGTCTAGTAATTTCATATTTTAATTTCGATATTTTCAATTCTTGTTACTTAATTTGTACAAAAACTATTGTTTGTATTAGTGATTAGTAGATTTATATTTCATTTATTTCGATAAGAATTGAATTTCTTGGAATTTTTAATAGTTTCCGAATTTATTGGTTACTTTTTTCTTTGAATAATTTTACAACAATTTGAAATAAATTATACCTGCTCGGTCTGACTTCGTTGTCCAGGTAATTCATAAGCATATCCCACATGACTGTAATCTTCTACTATTCTTAAAAATTTTTTTCAATTTACACCTTTAACTTCATTAATTCTAATCTAATCTAATTTCCTGTTCATCAGAGACTAAAATTGACTTTCAAATTTCATGAACTAAAACAAACTTGTGTATTTAAAAATATATATCTGCAATTTGAATATTTAAAATTCTATCAATGAAAGCATTCGTTGTAATTATGATAAATTGTTGTAATTTACCTTAGAATTTTTTTTTCATTAATTGAAATTTACATATGTATCGTATATACGTTTATTTTAAATTGCTAATTTATACCTTGAAAGCTTTCGATTTGCAAAGAAGCTGCAAAATAGTTGGAGGAAAGTAACACGAAAACGTTTATTCATAATGCAATATATAAGAAAATTGACAGCTGAATTGACTAGTGATAAGAAATCCATGAAATCACCGAGGAGTAAGTAAACCTATAATTTAGATATTTCTTATATTTTATAATTCATCAGTGAATAATAATTAATGCAAGAGAAATTTGAAAAATATCAAAAATTTTTGAAATTACTAAAATTATTTTATTTTTTAATATTTGTTTATTCCAAGCAAAAAAGTTACAGAAAATGTTGCACAAAGAAATATTATAAAAGTTTCTATTTCATTGTTTTAATTAATGTTCTAATGATAAAGAATTTTTTTTAAGAAATAGTTTAACTTACTTTTTGATGGAAAGTATCACCAGTGAAAATACCTGTCAAAACATTCATAACACCTTGTGGTAGCTCGGTAATAAGAAATATTGATAGAACAGCTACAAGCATTGGTGTTGTATGATCTTTTGGTACCTTTCGCTTCATCACCTATTAAATTTCATTTTATTATTAAATGCTAATTAATTTTGAAAAGGAATATGAATTTAATACAATTACAACATATGCTGGAATTTAATGACTTTTATTGGATTTTAATGACTGATGTAATTACTACATATCTTTTGTGTTGCAATTTGAAATCCATTCAATTATGGATGATCGGGTATATAGCAAAGTTTGAGTGAATAGGTGAATAGTGAAATTTTACGATTGAGTAAATCTCGAAATTTGAACAAATAAGAAAAATAAGTCTTTTGCAAAGATATAAATGAAATTCATTCAAAAGAAAAATTTTGAATAATTAATTGAATTAATTAATGCATAATTGCTATGAATGATAAAAATATGATAAGATATGTATTTATTTTGAAATATTTCAATGAATTTTTCCTTTGATCTTTACCGATTTATGAAACTTTTATTTGGAACTTTTTTTGCTGTTTAAATGATTTCAATATTTTCCATCGTTGTTTTGATTTAATTCCTCAAATATATGCCATTTATTGATCGTAGAGAATATATAGAAGAAAGCGATAACATTTGAGGCGTTCGAAAAACGGAAATTTCGACCCCTAAACTTTCTAATTCTAATCTATCAGAGTAGGAACGTAAAAAAGAAAGAAAGGAAAGGCCTTTTTATTGAAGGAGCTGTTTTCTTTCCTCTTCTTCCTTCTCTTTCTGATCATTTAAAAGGAAAATTCTCTATGTGCATAAAAAAATAAATGTTTAGAATTTACAACTAATTGAGTTTGCAATGAAGTTGTAGTGGATTGTGTTCCATTTTACATCATTGCTATATTATTTCTATCTAAAGAGTTAAAATTAACTTACAAACTACAAACATATGTTTGTTACCATATTACATATCGAAATAATTCTCATTAATTCTATATAGAGCTATATAATAAAATATATCTTATTGATTAATTAAATATCAATAGAGGAATTTTTTTTTAATTAGTATATGATCAAATACTTTTGTTTTCGCAAATGATAATGATTGATACTTTTCTTTAGTAAGAATAAAATATATGTTTGAATAAAAAAAAATGAAAGTAAAGAAAACAAATGAATGATAATTATATTTTAGTAATTTAAGCCTTACAAATATCCAAATAAATGAACCAAAAACAAAAAAACAAATAAATAAAAACAAATAAGAATGAATTAAGAGATATGCTTTCTTTTTGTTGGCTTATTAAAATAAACAAAAGTCAGTACTAATTTACAATTGACCTTTAATTCATAAATGATTATCTATCGTATTATGATTATGCTTTAATAATTTAAACTCTATAACAATATTCAATCGTTCAAGTGTTTAGAATTGAAATATTTAAAAAACTACATATATGCAGAAATCATTTTCCGATTGGTTGATAAGATAGATATTCCTTTAGAAATATCGTTTTGCCACAAATAAGATATATTAAATTAAAATTGAATATTTTCTTCAAAAAAAAGAAAATGAATGATGAAGGAATTGAACCTGTGCAAGAGTTTGCCTTTGATGTGATAAATCGGAAATTAATTTGAGCAGTACAATAATTGATACGGTTAATAATAAACATGGTACCACTTTGAAAAGTATACCATTTAACCAGAATGCTAACTGCAACACATATATGAATTCATTTTTTTTAATCGGTTAATTAAAACTATCTATTAAGAATTAATTAAAGTTTAAACTTTTTTATTTACAGATATGTCGTAAAAAAAAGATATTAAAATATTTTGTATGAAATGATAAAAATTTTTCTTCTTAGTAAATACTTTTAGCAAAAATAATTGTTTACTAGTTCTAACATTTTATAATTATTAATTAGTGTTTATGAACTAATTTCATAAGTAATTAAGTATTTCAGTATCATGGTATTTCTGGTTCGTAGTATAATTCAATCGTTTATTATGATAAAGATTTAAAAGATAAAAAAAGAAGACATTTTTTTAGTTTTGAAATTTTATCATAATTAAAAAGATTCTTTAAAATCAACGAAATAATTACGTCATTTTCAATTTGATATGATAACAAAACTTAATGCAAAATTGAAACTTAAATTTTATTTTAATCTTCATTATAAATCATAATAAAAATATCGTGTGTAATGTTTCGTTCAATTATACCTAAATGCTTATGATAATGAAATTACAAAGTTCATTATTAAAGCTAATTAATAAATTGCATCATTGAATGAAGAAATTAAATACCTTTAGTTTCATACAATTGCCTTGTGATGCAACAAGCATATAAACCGGATTTTCATCATCGACATATTGTGAGTAATCTGAACTTTGGTTACTATAATCATCATCATCAGATTTATTATCAATTGTTAGTAATAATGATGAATTGTTGGAATATTTAACTAAGCATGGTAGAAATAATTCCGATGATGTCCTTACAACCTGCAACGAAACCTTTTAATAAAAGTTAATAGTAATCTATTTTATGATTTAAAAAAAGAATATAATTAAATAATTAAATAAATAATTTTATAATTTAAACAATTTGAAATTTATATTTTAAAAAAAAAAGATATTTCTCAAAATTTCAAATTTTCAGTTATAAAATAAAGAAGAAATGTACGATACTTTAAAAGTTAAAAAATTGGGAAGATTGAATAGTGACATGATGAAACATATCGCTAAACTGAGCAAAACAGTAAAACGTATTGTAACGGTAGTTGACGGATGCAACGTGGAACGTCGAATTGTTAAGACACGTATTTGAGCCAAAAATACCTTTAAGAAAAGCTTTTTTTTTACAACTATGATTATTTTGTAAACGAATATTTGAGGTTAATTCATAATTGCAACAAATGAAAAAATTAATAATGTAATTAATCCTACCTGCAGTTAAAAGAATTTGATAAATTTTAAGTTTGAAATTGTAAATTAAATTTTTCATTCTCATTACATATTTCGATTATATTTCTTATTATATCTTTTCTTGTTTGTAAACAATAAATTGTTTACAAATAAATTAAATAATAAAATATAAATAATTTTTTTTCCTTGTCGTTTATTTTTAATATTTTCCTCATTTCCATTTTTCATTTTTAATTTTCTAATTTCTAATTAATTTATTAATGTATAAATATTTCATCGCAAAATTGATTAATGTAACAAAAAAAAAAGGGAGAGAATGAAATTTCAATTTTAATCTTCTTAAAATCTTTCATCCAATCATCTTCCACTTATAGTTAATTAACAAAAAGCTATGATATCATTTTTTAATTATTTCTAAAAAAAAAATTGCACCAATTTTTCAAATTAATAATTTCATATGATAACAACGAATTTGCAACTATTTGAGAGGGAGAAAACAAAATGAAAATACTGACAGTAAGCCATATACTTGTAGAATGTAAAATGACCGATGCATGGGCATGAATAAGTGTGAAAATTGTCCATGAATAGCTATAATCGGTTGGTAAACAACGATTAGCAGCACTGATCAAAAAATGCGTAACGAATATTAAATATGATGCCATAACCAATACATCACAAAGTGCTATTGAAGAGAGTAATACATTTACCGGTGAAATCATCGATGGTCGGGTTAATACCACGACTGTCATCACATTTAAGATTGTACCTAAGAATATGAAAGAATTATGTATTTTATTACTAAACAAAAAAAAAATCATGATTTACAACCTTATACAGTTAGTTATAAATTAATAAGATTAATTAAGTTCAATTGCATTAATTTAATTTTAATAATTAAAATTTGTCATATATTCAATTCAATTATATTAAGTTATTCAATCCAAAATAATTTCAACTAATTGAATAATCTTTCGAGTAGATTTTCAAATTTTAATTTTTAACTAATTAATATAAATTGAATATATCAATATATATATGAATTAGAAAAATCAATTAATGCTTCAAATGACTTTTTAAGTAGAAATAATGAAAGTACCAATCATAATTTTATTAGGGAAAAGATCTATCTCATATTAGAATACCATCATTTAATAATTTAAAAAATTGGAAATCTATACAAGAGTTATTCTTCCTTTAAATTACAATAAATATTATGGATATAATAATTTAGTTCAGTTAATTTATTCCATCCATCTTTTAACCATTCTACTCATTCCTTCAATCTCACTTAACTATTATTTCATTTCAAATTAAATAATTGATTGTGTTTCTATACAAAACAAATGAACAGATATTTGAACTGATATTTATTAATTACTTTATTCCTTTCTTAAACAAAAAAGAAATGAGAATAATTTTAATCTGATTTTAATTAATTTCATTATTGATTAGTTTCTAATCGAAAATCTTTCATTACAGTATTTTTTCTATTGAAATTTCAACGGTAAGTTTATCAAATGCTTCTTTAATAAATCTTTACCATTAAAATTTGAGAACTTACCGGTGAAACAAAGTACAGCAGCAATATAAGGATGTATGAAGCCATAGGCAACATGAAAAGCAGATAATGTAGCAAATAACCAGGTGGCATTTTGAAATGGTATTGAACCAATTTCACATACGTCACCGTCACCGTCACCGCTCATCGATAATATCCTCCCTTTCACGTCAATAAAAATTTATTACGTTTAAAATTACGGAATGTTTTTTAAAATTATAAATACCTTTTTAAATACTTAGTTACAGATTTAAATACTTAATTATAATTACAGATGGCAGCCATTAACATCAATATTTATGAAGTAACTTAATTGCTATAATTATTAAATTACGCCATCTTTAAATAAACCCAAATGGATTTCAATTCAAAAAAAATGTACATTCTATTTAATTTATTTATATAATATCAAAATTCGATGATACAGTCATTCTTTCGAAAATATGAATTTCTTCGTTCGAACAAACTTTATCGTTTTAAAACAAAAAATCCTTCCTTTCTTCTTCATCATATTTAACGAGGATATTTTCAAGAATTACTAAAATGTTCTATAAAGATTTTATTGATTTTCAAGATTTATCGATGTTTAAAAGAACTGATTAAATTTCAACGAACAATTCGGCGATGATAAGTTTAGGAAAAATGAAACTTGTTAGATGCACTGCTAAACTGTTCTTTTCAACTTGTAAATGTACGAAATATCTGTGCATCATTGAATATGTTATGCATTAAAGTTATGGTAATATAAATATTTAAATTTTCAAAATCAATTTAGCTAAAGAACTGATAGAGATTCAGGCTTAGGTAATAATTATGATAGTATATATTATATTAATTCCCATTTACATCAAAGATATGATAATATAAATATTAAAACTATCAAAATCAATTTAGCTAAATCACTGATGGAGATTCAGGCTTAGATAATAATCATGACAGTATATATTATATTAACTACCATATACATCAAAGATATGATAATATAAATATTAAAACTGTCAAAATCAATTTAGCTAAATCGTTGATGGAGATTCAGGCTTGGATAATAATCATGATAGTATATATTATATTATTTCCTATTTACATCAATGATATGATAATATAAATATTAGAAGTGTTAAAATCAATTTAGCTGAATTACTGATGGAGATTCAGACTTAGATAATAATCATGATAATATATCTTATATTAATTCCTATTTACATCAAAGATATGATAATATAAAAATTTAAATTGTCAAAATTAATTTAGCTGAATTACTGATGGAGATTCACACTTGAATAATAATCATGATAGTATATATTATATTAATTTCCTATTTACATCGTCTAACTTCTCAAATAAACAAAAAAAAAGAAATGAAGTATCGGGAAATTTTATTACAACTTTTATTTAGAATTCGATTCCAAAGCTGGCAGCTAAGTTAAAACAAACTTAAACAGTTTTGATCAAATAGATGAAATTGAATGAAATTATATTAACGAAAAAATGTTCAATTTTTTTTTTCTTCAATAAAATTCGATTGAAACGATAATTTAAGAAATTAAAATTGGAATAAAAAGAAATGGTTATAGTTGAAAATATTATGGAAGAATGTAAGAAGAGAGAATGAAAATGTGAATGGAATTTAAGAGGAAATAGTGAAAAAACAAAAATTGCATAGACAACAAACGAAGGACATCATCATTTTATAACGGAATTCTTTTATATCAATTTATCATCAGACTTGCTGTTTGTTGTTGTTGTTGTTGTTGAATGATGATGATGATGATGTAGGAATGATGAAAAATAGGTTCTTCTGCTTCGTACAGCTATTTTTTCCTTAACTAAAAATGGTTCTTGGCTATTGAATGAATGACTGACTGACTCGAATGATATCAATCAAGTCTGTGATTCTTCCTATTGAATGACTCGAATGATATTAATTAAGTCTGATATAATTTGAATATGCAATACTTATCATTTGCAATTCAATCAAACTGTAAAATTATTATATAATAAGAATAAGATAAGAAATTTTAAGATATATATTTAAGATATATATATGTATAGAAATTTTAAGATATAGGAATAAGATATAAATTTCGGAAAAGAAAAATTGCGATTGCAATTTTAAAAAATGATCATTTATGAAGCTAACTATTCCGGTTAATTCAAATTTCATATAAATTGTAATTCTTAAAAATGATTATTTATGAAGCTAACTATTCCGATTAATTCAAATTTCATATAAATGGATATTGTAATAATTCTGACAAATTCTAAAATATCGATTTGGAAATTCGATCTTTTCAAATATCTCTAATTTCATTTGAGATTATTTTGCATAAATTTGCGCATAAAAAATAGTGTGAGATTTAAAGAACATTAAATATGATAAGTTGAAATTTTAAAATTATAGCTTAAATAGAAAATTACATTAATCAACAATCCTAGAAATGCAAGGAAATAAATGAAAAATAAGATATAGTTTGGAGTAGAGGAAGAAAAGGAATGATATATTTATTCTATTCCCATCAATAATTCAAATCATACTTTTTCCGATATTCCGATAAAAAACTTTAGATTTCAATTAAAATATTATTTCTGTATTAAGTGTAAATTGAAATAAGTAATCTTTTAAATAAACAAAATTTCAAACTTAACTATGACAGATATAAAGTAAATTAGTGAGGTAAATTGGAAGTAAGAATAAATTGAAATAACTAATCCTTAAAATAAATCAAATTTCAAACTTAAGTATTTCTGCAGTTAAGAGTAAATTGAAATGAGTAATTGTTAAAATAAACAAAATTTTAAACTTAAATATTCCTGCAGTAAGAATAAATTGGAATAAGTAATTTTTGAAATAAACAAAATTTCAAACTTAAATAATAATCAGTGATATGAAATGAAAATTTGATAGTTCGATGAAATAAATAATATAACGAATGAAATGGATGATAATTTAGGAATATATGATAGATATAGAGTAAAAGTAAATTAGTGAGGAAGAAAGGGAAAGAAAAGACTAACTGGTTATGAGGGCTGTCAAAAAGAAAAAAGGGGGAAAAAAGGAAGTTGAATTTGAAATGATTGCATTAAAATGAAATGAAATGAAAATGATAGAGAGTGCAAATTACTTATCCTTAGCATTTTGAACTAAATATCGGTGAAAAATGATGAATGAAAGAAGAAAATTTACTTAATAAGGATATTCTTTTTCTCTCTCTCTCTCTCTCTCTCTCTCTCTCTTGAGTTGATTAAGACTTCAGATGTCAAAAATTTATTTTGCTTACAGTCGGCAAAATATCATTTAGTAGGCAGGCGTTTATAATTTTCAATCCTTTAGTTAGGATATGAATTTCTTTTTCTTTCAAATTTCTTAAATTAATTATTACCTTCTTTTTTTTTTTTAATTTTATAAATTAATTATTATTTGAAATTTTCATAATATAATTAAATTATTGAAAAATTATATTTAAAAATGATCGTTTTTTTTTTGAAGTTAGCATTTAATAAATCGTATGTGTTCGATCAAATTAATTAATTAATTAATTAATTATACAGTAATTTTTCTTCAACATTACTATATACCACAATAAATTGAGCGTGATATTTTTTTTAATAAATTGAAATTTTAGAATTTCTTTAAAATCTTCTTGAATTAATATTTCCATTTTAAAGTTTGCAAATTTCATAAAAATTAAAGAAGAAAAGAATATGTGTGAAACATAAGGATGAGATTTTGCAACAATAGTGTAGAATGATTAAGTCACTTAATTTCTTTGTTTTTAAATAATAGCTTTTAAAAAGTTGCATATTAATTATCATACAAACTTTAGCAATAATTAGTGTAGCAATAATTATCACGCAAACTTAGCAATAATTAAATTAAAGAATTCTTGTAAGGATACGAATGATTTCAAACGTCAAATATAGAATTTTTTGTTTTCAAAAATATGACGCATTTTGCTAAATGCATCATTATGATCCATACTTCCAATTCTGATGTGGGAGTTTCCGTAATTATTTTTGGGATTATTGTTGAAAAATAAAATGGAAATTTTTTTTATTGATAATGCAATATTTCTTCTCCGGAATAAATATTGTTCATTATCAGGAAAAACTGACGTAGTATATTGGATAGGAAAGATAAATGATAAAGTTGATAATTTTATCATAATCACTTTGAACAACTTCTTCGATAACTTAAATGATATCAAATATTCAATAAATGATATCAAATGATATCATGATATATCATTAATGATATCTTAAAATGATATCATATCAAATATTCGATAAATGAAAAAACACGAAAGTATCAAATATTTTTAATTCAATCTAATCTAACTGAAGTAAAGTTTTCGTTTTGACATTGATATTTTAAAAAAGATTTGTTTAGCTCAAGTCGATCATTGGAGAATTTTGTTAGCTTAGCTATAATTTCAATGATAATTTGATATCACTCAATTGTCTTTATTTTCTAACTAAATGGGAGAAAGTTTGGATTGCTTGTTCTTTTAGATTACGACAATTAAGCCTGATAGCAAGTAGGCTATAAGCAATTCAAAATAGGACTACTGAAACTTCCCATTATTTATTCAATATCTATGGTATATATGTGCGTGTGTGGGTGTGTATGTGGGTGAGTGTGTATGTGATTGAATGTGACGGATATATCAGATGCAAAGAAGCTTTTGATTTATTGTTTTAATGATTGAAATTTCCGACTTCCTTTAGGGAAACAAAACAAGAAAAAAATTTTTTTCAAATTGCATCGCTTGAAATGAAATGAGTTTCAATTAAACAATATTATTATTTCTTCTTTTAAAAACTTAATTACCTGTAATTTTCGTTTTCTTTTTTTGATGAAAAAGTTTGCATAATTAGGAAATATCAAAAGTTCAAAGTTCAAATGAAAAAAGTGAAAAATTTTTACCTAAAAATGATAATTTAAAACGAAAACAAAATGTAAAATCTCTTCTCTCATTTGTTTTATTTCTTCCTTTCTCTTCTTCTCTTTTTATCTAACATATTTCAATTCTCTTTGAATTTGTTTTTTCCTAATTTCAACATTTGTTTTTTAACAAAATTTCTATTTCAATGGGAAAGGAAGAAAATAAAACGAACAAAAAGTAAATTTCATTTTAAAACAAAAATAAC